GTAGATTACCTAACTCTGACCCTCCCTCTAAAGGGTGCACTCTCTTTTGAGACTGGTCTCTGAATGTACCTCTGTTTGAGGGGGCCTGCTGCCCTCCCTTGGAGGACCTACTCTTCTCATTGTCCCCACCCCCGCACACCACGTTCTTGGAGTTCTGGCCAGGCCAGAATTGAAGAATTCCCCTGTTGGGTTAAGCAGGAAGCTGGCGTGGAGATGAGTTATTCTGGATCACGGGTGTGGCAGGAGAAGCTGTGATAACCTCCAAGACAAAGGCAACGTGTAAGGGAAGCATATGAACTAAAAGGAAGGGAACATTGAGCTCACACCCCAGGAAAGCAGGGCCTCCTGCTGGAAGATGCTGAGACAATGGAACAAACAGACAACGGAGCCTGTCCACCTACGCCTGGAAATACTGGCTTTTTAGGAAATGAAGGGACTGAGTGGAAAGAGCAGCGAGCATACAGCTGAAGGCATGGGATGATGGGACAAGAATGGAGAGATGGGGAATGGGATGAGACTCATTGAAACGCTGAGTTAGGGTGTCTCCATTGAAGTCTCTTCCCTGCAGGCCTAGAAACCCAGATGTGTACGCTAGTGTGACACATCTGTTTGGGGCAGTGGGGCTGCTTGCTCTCATCTCCCTTTCCATTGTCTCTGTCATGAGCTCACAGGAGGCATCTCAGAGCACAGCTGGTCCATGGCTGTCACTGGTACTTGCTGGCAGTGGGTTTGCAAGTACCTAAGCTACCTTTGCACCTGCCAAGTCATGCTTGTCCCTCTGTGGAAGAACAGTGTGGTCAATCCCATAGGCAATTCCCAGGGTCTAAGAGCAGGTGAGAAATAGCCTGTTCTTACTATGGACTTTAGTCTCATCATTCCCAGTAGGTATTAAGTAGCTTCTCAGACTTCCCAGACTCCCTTGCTGATTGCCACCTAAAGGAACCCCACTCCAGTGCCCTGGCCTAAGACATCTGTTCATTTCACCCCCACCCACCAACCTTACTTGGCAAGTTGAGGTGGCTACAAAGCTATTGACTATCAGTTCCTGGACCCTTACTCTGTTGGTTGTCAAAGCCAGGGGAAGGGAAGTGCATGACTGGCCTAGAGCAAGCCCCAGCCTAGAAAATGAGCCTCCTGGCTAAAAAGCTCAGGGGAATTCATGCCTGGGAAAATAGTTTCCAGATGCTGGTCCATGCCTACCAGCTACCCTGAGGCAGTTTCTCTGGCATACAGGAAAAGGGGGAGGGGGTCCCACCTTAAATCCTTTAGAAGGCCAGCCTTGTCTACAGAGTGAGTTCCAGGACAGCCAGGGCTGTCAAAGAGAAAAGGCCTGTCTTGGAAAAAGAAAACAAAAGAACCCAGAAGGCCCAGTCAGGACACCAGGAGAACATGGCCCACAGAATCAACTAACCTGGGCTCATAGGAGCTCGCAGAAACTAAAGCAAAGTCACAGAGCCTGTAAGGGTCTGTGCTAGGTCCTCTGCATATGTAATGGTCGTGTAACCTGGTGTTCTTGTGGGACTCCTAACAGTGGTAGTGGGATGTCTCTGACTCACCTATTTTGGGGACCCTTTTCCTTCTATTGGGTTGCCTCGTCTAGCCTTATTGTAATTTGTTATGTCATATTCGGTTGACATCCTGGGAGGCCTGCTCTTTTCTGAAGGGAAGTGAAGAGTGGATCTGGGGGAGAGAGGAGGTGGGGTGGAATTGCTGGGAGGAGTGGAGGCGGGAAAATTGCAGTCAGAACGAAAGACTGCAGACTAAAAAACCCAATCTGGCCCTACCTGTTAAGGGCTCTCTCTCCTGTGACAGCACAACATTGCCACCGTGTGGACAGAAACCTGAAGGACACTTTACAGCCAGTCCTGCCCAGTGGCTGAGAATCTGAAGTTCCATACCTACAGGATTTGGAACCTTCCCTAACACATTTCATGGTGTCTCCTGCAGAACCTTGTTGGAGGGAGGAGTCCTTGTAGATACAGCACACAGGGCCTGAGTTTGTTCATTAAGCTTCTAAGGTTTTGATAAGTGACTAAAATAACTGAGATGCAAGGCACTTAGGGAGGACCAGAAAATGCATTGCTTTGAGATTCCCAGCATAAGATGGTCAGCCAGGGGAAAGATTTCATAGTGTGTGCAAAGCTAGCAAGGCCAGTAGTAACAATGCACCATCTCCAGTAGGCCCAGCAGCACACGGTTTATCTGTGAACAGAGAGGCTCTTAGCCACCTCATCCTTGTCCTTGTCCTCTTAGATCCACTACATCTAAGAGACCCTGCAGTACCAGATGTTAAGGTGCTTTCATCTGTGCTATGGGGCAGAAGCCATGAGGCTAGATGTTACACAGTACATCTCACCTGTCCTGACCATGTCTTCCAGCCTGGCCTTCATCCCCATCCTTTAATTCCATGTCTGGTTACCCAGAGAATGGCACAGGATGCAAGGCTAGCTACAGAATTCATGGAACAAAATAAAATATATAGACCCCTGTTTCGAGTGAAGAGTGGAGCATGGAACTAAGTGCAGGGCCCTCCTGGGCATGGGGCTCTGCAGCTTGAGAGCATGGGGAGACAGCCCTGCCTACCTGCTTGGGGGTGGAATAAAGGGCTCGCTTAGCTTTCAGCTCCTTCACTTGAGGCTGCAATGGCAATAAGTGATCTCAGAGCGCATTATTCATCCCATGCCCCACACAGTGGACCTGGCTATGGCTATTGGCAGCCTGTCCTAATTGAATTGAAATTTTTCTCTCACATGTTTGGAGATGAGTTTGTGAATTGAAAATGCAAATGTGTGCAAAACATTCTTGGCCACAACCTGCCTCAGTAAAGCTAAGTCAGGCCAATACCCAATTCCGTTGTAGAGCTGTGTATCCAGGCGCTCCAAAGTGCAGTGTCCCTTGGGCCTTTGGTGGTACTAGTGACTTCTCCCTTTTAGAGAGCCTCAGTGATGAGTAGAGTTCCTGCTGGCTGTGGTTCCTTAGCCTATTTTAATCTGTCAATAGAAAGGCCAGACTTGACTTCATTCATACTCTTTTCTTTATATACAGTTTTATTTATTGTTTTAGTACATTTCTTTGTGTGTCTGCCTGAGCGTGGGTAGAATACAAAGGGCAACTTGAGGGAGTCAGTTCTTTCTACCATGTGGATCCCAGGGCTAGAGCTCAGGTCACCAGGCTTGGCGGCAAGCTCTTTTACTCACTGAACCATCTCGCCAGCCCTCAGTCATTTTTGGAGACATCGACATTTGATTGATTTCCTAAGGATTAAATGTGACTGTCGTTCCAAGTGGGTCTTCAGGATTCTGCCAGCACTGTGAGATCAAGGGCATCCACCAGACAGGGTGCCATATGGAGCCCTGAGTAGCCATTAGTCCATGGCAACCGCAGAGTAACAGGAACCCCTGCTAATAGTGCTTCCCCAGCTCCACTTGTATTGGTAACCTTCGGAAGGCCTCCAAAGTGGACCGCTGCTGCCTGCACCTCCAGAATGAGGTCTCAGAAGCCCCGCGTCAGGAATGGGAAGTTGTACCTATGAACTCCCCAGGATCTCAAAGCTCCAGCCCAAGGACCACTTTTGAAGAGCCACTGTCCAAGACTACAGTCCTAGTCTCCACCCCAGACTCCTGGACAGGAAGGGAGTGGCCCTGAAGGATAACTAGTTCCCAGGCAGAAAATAGTGTGATGCCTACATTAACCTAGAATACTGGTGCTGGCGACAGCAAGGTCAGGGCAAAGAGCTTTTCCCAAGAAGTGTGTTTGCTGTCAGGGAATGAGTAAGCTGTGGGTGGCAGTTGGGGTGGACATTGAGGTACTATGTGGGTGGCCCAGTTTGCTCTAGCCACCCCAAAATTGTGAGCTAGCTGTGCACACACACATGGAAATCAGCCCATACATTCACGTTCTGCAATTCTTCACGTAACATAGTGCCTGACTCAATCCTCCAGTTCCATACCATGAGATGGTGCGAGCAACCATGTCAGGAGAAAAGAAATGCTATTTCCGTGGTGACTCTTCCTGGAAAATACTCAGGCTAAAATCAGACACACCACACAAAGACCACCTGAGCAGTCAGACTATAACTTTCTTCCCTTTTGTTAATAAAAATCACAATGAGCAAAGCCCACCGGTGACAGCACTGTCCAGAAGCTTGAGAGGTATAAGCCCTCTTCCCTCGTGGCAATATCAGTCACTGCCAAGTCTACTGGGGACCTCTCCTTTTCCCCCAGCCTCAGCCCATACAGGGCTCCAGGAGCTTTCTAAGGGCCTTTCAAAAGATCTCCAGCAATCTGGGTGGTAGTGGCACACCCTTTAATCCCAGTTCTCTATGAGTTCAAGGGCAGCCTGGTCTACAAAGCAAGTTCAAAACAGCCAGGACTGTTACACAGAGAAACCCTGTCTTGAAAATCAAAAATTAAAAAAGAGATCTCCAGCCTCTCCCCAGATCTACAGCACTACCTCGCTGGACCACTCCAAATAGGGAGAGAACATTTTAAGTCACAAGAGGGATGGCCAGGAGGTGTAGGCATCCATCTGCAATGCAGCAGGAGCATCCCTCCAGATGGGACCCATCACTCAACTCACGCTGCCAGTCAGTCCACGAACACCCCATGCGTGCATGTGCGCGCACACACAGCATATGTAGGCATCTCTGCACTGAATGCAGACCCACGGCACTTTGCACCTCCTTCTTCTCTGACATGTCACCACCACCCATCCTCCCACCCTGCTAGGGCCAGGCCTGGGCAACCACAGTGCCCTCTCCACATGATACCTTTCCCCCAAAGTCCCCCCTGACCCACCTACTGTCACAGTCAGGGAACTAGGCCCTGGCTTCTAAGTGAGCACCTGTTACAACCGAGGCCTAGGAAAGACAAGGCACTGTGGTCTGCACCCAATATGGCTCCACAGTCTATGCTAAGGGAAATTTCATTCCAGTTTAGTGCAAAGGGAACTATTCGTTGGGGGAGGGGGAGAGCCCATTATGGCAAGAAAAACAAGTTACCTAAAAAGAAATAAAATGTTTTACTCACAAATACCCTCCCCTTGGAGTGAGCAGGATAATTTCAATCTTAGGTGCCACTGTTTTCCAGGGTCCCTGGGGTCAGGGTTCCCTGAAGACAGTGACCCTAGGGGACTCCAGCCCCTCCACCCACAGGGCTCCCAGGAGCTCAGTGATGGTTGCCTCTTAGAGTCAGGAAGCGGGTCTCCAGAAAAGGGTCATCTTCACCCAGTTCAGGACCAGAGCAGAAGGCTGTCATCAAATCCTTGCCCCCAAGCCTGGGCCAATGGCACTGAAGTTCTCTGCCCAACTCCTGGCCCCACTTTGGAAGCCAAGGGACGAACCCTGAGTCCTGGGAATGCAGTTCACAGTCTGGATTGTGAGGAAGAGGGCACAGTATAAAAGGCCTCAATGGTCCTGGCCTGTCTCCAGGTGCGCATGTGGGAGCATCCCTGTGGGTGTCCATGGCAGGCCATCCATGCTTCTATACCCCAGTCTGCTCTTTGATCCAGTCCCGAACTGCAGGGAGCCTCGTGTACACGCCTGGCTTGTTCCTCTGAGCGCAGCCTTCACCCCAACTCACTACACCAGCCTGGAAGATTCGCCCATCTGTCTCTACACTGGACAACGGGCCACCAGAGTCACCCTAGGTGAAAACAAATCCTGTGTATGAGACCCTTACCTAAACTCTCAGGAGCTGCCTCAACCAAAATGGCCTCTCCCATGCCCAGCTGACCCCTCAGCTTGCCCTTTCTTGACTCCTACTCTCCCATGCCCAGGCTTTCCCCAGCCCCACCTCTCCCTAGTTAGGGCTTTCTTCTCCCCTCCCCCTGCCCTGCCTTTCCCTAGCCCTGCCACTTTTCCACCACCCTCTGCAAGGCCCTTCCCCTCTTTAGCCTGGCCTTTGCCCAGCTCCAGCATTTCTAGGTCCCTCCTCCTCCAACTCTGCCTCTCCCCTGCAAGCCCACACACCTGGCAGGAGTCCACACCCCCACTGAGGAAACCCACACACATCATCCGTGGGGTGATCTGCTGTGGCATGAGGTCCTCACAGGTGGTCTGGTTGATGACACGGATCTCACCCTTCTGTAGGATCAGTGCTCCGGTGCCTGGGGAGACAGTAAGCCAGGGCAGACTGACAGGCAGCTCCTGGAGGAAGCCACGCTGCACAGGGAAAACTCACTGGAGATGTTCCTCACTGGTCAAGTCTACAAGCAATGCTTAGAAATAGCCCAAATGCCTGCAGCTGGCAGACAGATGGGCAAGTAGCTGGCAGCACGTGGAAGGGTACTGAGCAGTCATAGAAAGTAACAGACTGCACAGTGACACTGCTGCCGACAGATGAGACATGACAGGTAAGGCATGGGTGGAAAGCAGGCACACCAGAAATGCCACCAAATGCCACCCCTCCCCCAGTCTGTCTGTAAGAGAGCCCTCCATGCCAGGGTTTTACTTTCTGTATGAATGTTCACTGAAGTACTCTATTCATCTTATAATGGAGTTTTTCAATCTAAAATTTACCTACAAACTGCTTGCCCTCCACAGGGCATACAAGGATCCACAAGGGATAATGTTGCAGGCCCAGTGCCACAGTTTGTCCAAGTCAAAAGTAGCAGCCACACCTCTGTTCCCACTCGCAGAGCATACTTTTGCAGACGGATAACCACAGTTACAAGATGAAGCAACTGGCCACTAGCTTGCTCAGTGGCAGAGTCAAGGCTTCAAAAAGAGCCCTGCAAATTCTACACTTTTTACTAGGTGCCTCCTTTTCCTTTCTTCCCCAAACAGCTGCATCCTGCCAGGCACCAGGAAGCTGAGTAATCCACCAGCCTTGAAGCCAGAATGAACTCTGGTGCAGACAAGGCTAAATACCAATGTGCTACAAGTGTGCAAGCACCATGGCCTTGCAGGAAAGCCTGAGGCTCTCTGCAGCTCCTGGCCAGGCTTGAAGCTCACCTCCTTCTTGGGTGTGACCCCAGCCTGTGACCCAGATGGCTTTGCCAGCAGGGAAGACATGTGTAGTATCAGGCAGGCAGATAGGTCGCACAACAGTGCTGTAATCTGCTGGCTTCTCAAGCTCCAACAAGGCAATGTCATAGTCGAAGGTTATCTCATTGAACAAAGGGTGGGTGATGATGCGTTTGAGCTTGTGCTCCTGCACCCCAGTGGAGCTGCGCTTGCTCTGGTCTAGCAGACCCAGGAAGGCCGTCCACTTCGTGTGGTCTGAGTACCTGGGAAGGCAGAGAGGAAGGAGAACAATCACAAATCTGTGGGTGAGTATGGATGCACAAAGTTCTCCCACTCTCAGAAGGTCACCTACCATAAACAAAGCCCTAAGCAGCTTCGGAGGACCAGCAGCCAGAGGGAAGCTGTCTTACTTGGGCTTAACCCAACCAGAGACTTCATTTAAGCATAGTAAGAGGTCTTGGATACCCCTGGAGCTGGCGTTAGAGGCAGCTGTGAACCGCTCAATTGGATGCTAAACTTGGGTCCTATAGGAGATCAGTACATTCTCTTAAACACTGAGCCATCACTCCAGCCCAAGGCCTTCTCCTTTCTAATGTGGCTTCCCACTCATTCTCACCTCCAATGATGTATTTATTCTTCCACCTATTTGTTCATTCACTCATCCAACCATTATTGGACATCTGTGATATTCTAAGAATGGCCCTAGGGCCAATGTCAAGTTCAGAGTGTACTTGGAGTGAGAGATGGAAACCAATTGCAGCATCCCACAGATGGACAAATACCGCATGGGAGGTAGAAGGGAACAAAGCAAGCCTCGAACTCAACTATGGTTTTGCCTGACAAAGCCTGCAGAGCGGAGCTTGGGGAGTAAGAAGCTAAGAAGCACAAAGGGAAAGGTCAGGAAGTGAAACAGTATGGAAATTGGCCAAGGACAGGGGAAGCTGAGACAGACAAGAAACTTCATGCCATCAGCCCAGCCTCCCTGCACACCACCCTTTCCTGGGGGTCTGAGCCACCTGGTTCAGCAGACAAACAGCACACCTTCCAGGGCTCTGCTCAGACCCGCCTGCTCTTAAAGACACTCTCCAGTCACTGTCCTCTCAAGTGAGCCCAGACCTGTTTCTAGCACACCCTTCACTGCATGTGCATGCCTGTATAATTTACCCTCTATCTTACCAAGTCTGTGAAATACATGAACCAAATCTTATTCACACTTATCTCTCAAGTATCAATACTAACTGTATTAATTCTCTCTCTCTCTCTCTCTCTTTTTTTTTTTTTTTTTTTTTTTGAGACAGGGTTTCATGTATCCCAGGCTGTCCTGGAACTTGATTACTATGTAACCAAACATGACCTTGAACTTAAGATATCCCTGCCTTTCCAGGCAGTGATGGCACACTCAGGAGGCAAAGGCAGGAGGATCTCTGAGTTCCAGGACAGCCTGGGCAATACAGAGAAACCCTGTCTTAAAAAAAAAAAAAGACTCATGCCTCAAGTGACCAAACCAGAGAGTGTAGAGGCCTGTACTCCCTCCAGCACCCAACACTGTTGTTTCCTTCCCCCACATGATGCACACTGAGCTGTGCCTTCTGCTTCCTGCTGGGAGTCTCTGCAAAAAGTGGTCACAGTAGCAGAGGTCCCATGGCTCCCGAACTGCCTATTGCAGAGCAAACAACTGACAAAAGTCAGCCCTTCCTTCTTAGGTGATTTCTTAGGAAATCACCCTGTGTCTGTATCCTCTTCACCTCTCATGGCCAATAGCTAGGGAGCCTGGGGTGGGGCGGGACCTCAGACACAAATAGCCACAGCTTCATCCCTACCTACCTGTTTCTGATACTTCTCTGGTCTCCCAGACTTCATTCTGAGACACCACTGTGAACTCTCCCTGTAGACACACACCTACTGGGTGCCAGGTACAGTGCTGGGCCACGAGTTCAGTATCACCCTTAGCTTCTCCCAACTCCAGTGACAAGAACTCACCGTATGGCATCATTAGTGCCTAGGAAGGGAATAACCTGCCTAAGGCCACCTGTAAGCCAGATCATAGGCTAAATCAAGGCTTATCGCTAACCAAACCCAAGGAACCGTGACATGCAGAAACTAACCAAACAGGCTTTGGAATCTATGCTTGGGCTCAAGCCTGGCTCTACCATTGAGCTATGCAACCCCAGACAAATGTCCTTTTTTCTCCAAGTCCCAGTATCTGTGAAGTAGGGTCATATACAGACCTGCCTAATTTGGCACACAGAGAACCTGACTTTGGGGCATGGTGGCACATGCCTTTAATCTCAGCACTTGAGAGGCAGAGGCAGAGGCAGGTAGAGCTCTGAGATCTAGGCCAGCCTGGTCTACATAGTGAGTTCCAGAACAGCCAGGGCTATGTAGAAAGACCCTGCTGGAAGCCCCCGTTCCCTCCACATAAAAAAGTTGAGATTTATTAAGGCTGTTACTGAGTCCCTTATGGGATAAATGCCCACTCCTCCATCACTCTATTATGGTGCCAGCTTGCCCTGGCAGAATTCACACACAGGGTGCCTTACTGCACACCTGGGTACTTACTTGAAATTTCTGTCATCCATAAAGCAATGAGCTGCAGAGACCAGCCAGTTGGGAGAGATGAGCGAGGCCCCACACAAGTGGCCCTGGCCCAGGGCGTGGAGGCTCACCTGCCAGGGCCACTCGCCCTCGTCTGCATTTGTGCCACCAACCACCCGAGCCTGTTTGGTAAATGATCGCAGCCCACAGTCTGGAGAGGAGACAGAGAAGCACAGTGCAGCCAGTGAGCATCAAAGGGACATTCCCTATGCACAGAGAGATTCCTCGCCATGGGGGATGCTGCACAGCAACACTAGAGCAGCAGAGTGCTGAAGCCTCATAGATCCCCCGTCCTCCCATCACCCTGTCTCTCCCCATCCCATGCTGTGCTGCACAGGTGCATCAAGGCTCCAGACACCTGCTGCTTTGCTTAGGCTCGATGTGGTGCCACTTGACTAGATCTCTTTGTCCAGTGCTGAGGGATACATCCCAGAGCACAGTGCATGGGACCATGAAGGCAACCCAGCCAGCCCTTCCAGGACAAGGAGGCTGCAGTTTAAGGCATGAATGGGTGAAGGCAAAGCCCTGCCTTGTGCTTGGGCAGCTGGGCTCCTTCTCCAAGCCACCCATCCATGGCTATCTATCACCCACAGCATACACAGCAGCCAGAATGCCAGCTGTGTCTCAGATAGAGCAGTGTGTTTATGCCATTCTATCTATCACCCACAGCATACACAGCAGCCAGAATGCCAGCTGTGTCTCAGATAGAGCAGTGTGTTTATGCCAAATGGCGAAGTCTTCCTTTCCTCCAGACAGATGTGCCCTCTGAGTGGGCACTGGGCTGGGTGAGTGAGGATCTGGTGGGATCATCACCCCTGGGTACTCTTCCCATGACTACCTTGCACAGTAAACACCCTGGCCCAGTACACACAGTCCTTCTGCTTACCACAGTTCTTCTCATCCGAGCCATCACTACAGTCCCTCTTCCCATCACACTCAGGGTTGCCCTTGCTCAGACAGAGCCCATTGTGGCAGCGGTAGGTATATTTGGTGCAAGAGACGACACTCACTGTTCATGGGAGAGGACACACATCAGGGAAATGGATCTCTTGGCAGCAAAACCCCAGACGGCACACTATCATGGCACATCTACCTTGGACTCCTCACCTTAGTTGGCCCCATTTATCACACCCATGTCCACCACCCCTTCAGCCCTGCTACAGGCTCTGGATGCACGACATAGTGTCTGATACCGGCTACTATGTTGGGTGGGGCGCAATTTCGGTGAGAATGACCATCTCCACCCGAAGGCAGTCAGGGCCAAGTCTTACCACTGTCACACGAGGCCTCATCAGACCCATCGCCACAGTTGTCCTTCCCATCACACTTCTGGCTCTTAGGAAGACACTTCCCATTGGAACACTTGAAAGTCTCAGCAGGACAACCTAGAGAGGCACAGGTCCTTAGCAACTTCCAGCATGCCCTCCCTGGCTCACTGGGCCAAGCAGGCAGTTGGCAGCCCCAGGGTACTCACTGCATCCCTCCTCATCGCTGCCGTCCCCGCAGTCATTGACACTGTCACAGAGCCAGAAGAGAGGCTTGCAGAGCTTGTTCTTGCACGTGAACTGGTGGGTGGAGTTGCATCCTGTTGTGGGAGCACAGTAATCAGCTGGAAGCTCCCAGGAGCAGCCTGGGCAGTCACAGCTGCCAGAGATGCATGGCATGGAGCTGCTCTGCGCCACTAGCCATTGGCACTGACAGACACTTGCCTGTCTGCCGAGGTTTCCAATGGCAGCAGGTGGGGAGACCAAAGGGGTACAGCAGTGAGAACGGGGTATCACTGCCTTGTGTCTTTCTGCCAGCATAGACAGCTAACAAGGCCATGAAACTGACAAGATAGAACCAGAGCAGGAGGAGGTCAGGCCACTGGACAAGAAAGGGTGGGAGAGGGTAGGAGGAGGCATAAGGGGATGGGATGAGAGAGGGCAGGCAGAGGGAGGCCACGGCAGGACTTACGGCAAAAGCGCTCATCACTGTAGTCTGGGCAGTCTGCCCAGCCGTCGCAGCGCAAGTCCTTACGGATGCACCGTCCAGTGCTGCACATGAACATCCCTGGGCATGCTGTAAGGAAGAGAGAAGCCTGAAGTCTGCGGCTGACCCCCTCTCCCTGGCAGCCACCTCACAGCCTCACCGAGCCCTCAGACTGCAAGCAGAGGCACACTGAGACTCAAGTCTGACAAAGGGAGCTCTTATATCAGCACCAGGATGGGCAGCAGGCCCACTAGCTGTACCGGGTGTAGACAGCTGTATGTGCAGTGGTCCACTGTCCTGTGTGTGTTTCCCAGCAGAGGCCTCTGCCATTGCAAACTGACTGGGACTACGGAGCAGTGGGACCATGGGGTATGTGTCCTACCCAAGTGACAACATCAGTATTTCCTTCATGCTAACACATGATCTGAAGTTCAATGTTCCAGAAACGGGGAAGCCTGACAATTGCTCCCTGTGGCAAGGACAGAACTGTGAGAAGTCTGTTGTCACCGCCCTGGCACATTCACATTTCAGTCAGAAGTATGTTCTTACATCAAAGGTATCTGGTCATCCAGTAAGACTTTTGGAAGCTGTGTAGTTGCATTTTCTTTTAAGGTTTATTTATTTTCATTTTATGTGTGCCTGCATGCATGTCTATGTACCACATGCCTGTAGTGCCAATGGAGACCAGAAGAGGGTATCATATCCTCTGGAACCTGAGTTAACAGATGGTTGTGAACCAATCCTGTGGGTGCTGGGAACCAAACTTGGGTCCTCTACAAGAGCAACAGGTGCTATTAATCCCTAAGCCGTTCTCCAGCCCCAGTTACATTTTAAATCAAGTGTGGGTCTAAATGGTCACTCCATGATACATGGTTGAAACCAATGTATATTTTATGTATGACTGTTCTGCATGTACAGCTGCACGCCAGAGGAGGGCAGCAGATCCCCATTATAGATGGTTGTGAGCCACCAAGTGGTTGCCAGGAATTGAACTCAAGATTTCTGGAAGAGCCAGTGCTCTTAACATCTGGGCCATCTCTCCAGCCCTCAGGGTTGAAATGAAAAGGTACAGGTTGGATATCCCTCAGACCAAAGCCCAGGATGATGCAGAAACTGAAGATTTTGAGAGTGGACATGATGTCACAGGCGGGAGCCACATACCTGGCCTCAAGGGACACAGGTGTGTTAATGTGCTGTGCAATGGTCCAGGAGAAATAAGCTTCACCTTTATGTATGTATGTGTGGTGTATGTGTACATATCCGTGTGCCTGTGGGTGCACAAACATGTCTGCACCCAAGGCCAGAAGTCAATGTCATGTGTCTTCCTCAATTGCTCTCCACATTTATTTATTTATTTATTTAGCCAGGCCTTCTCATTGAACCTGGAGAGCATCTATTTGGGTAAACTGACTGGCCAGCAGGCTTCCATGTTTGCCTCCCCTGCTCTGAGTTACAGGCACACAAACCAGCTTGGTGTGTGGGTGTCGGGGATTGAAACGAAGGTTCTCATGCCATGCAGCAAGCACTCTCCTACCTGAGCTACCCAATTTCAAGCCTAGACTTGTGTCCCTTTCCCAAGATACCTCATTGTATTTATGCAAAAAAAAAATTATAACTGAAATGTGCCACACTTTCAGTCCCAAATATTTTAGATATGGGACCCTCAAACTCTAGTTTGTATGCCCATGAATTTACTGCTCATGCAGGCAAGAGGATTTTCTAATGCTTCAAAACTACAAATTAATCCTAAAAGTGCTCATAGAGTCTCAAAAGAGGTACAGATTATCATCAAAGTCACTGTGATGCTGAACCAAAGAGGTGTAGCCCAGCAAGTTGGGATGGAGAGTCCTGGGGCTTCCTGTGCTGCGCTCTGGGAACCAGACCTGAAAAGCACAGGCTGTACCAGCATTACTGTCATCCTTTTGTTGCTTTGGTGCTGGGGATGGAAACCAGAGCCTTACAGGTGCTTAGCAAGCTTAACACAGGGCTCCACCCATCCAGGCCAGCCTTCCTGTGCCAGTCTCTCCATCCATCAGCACTAGCCGTATGTACTCACGGTCATTGGAGTCATAGGACAGGTACTCAGCGAGGAAGCCGGTGTCTGTGTAGGAGTGATCAGAATGAAAGCGAACAGTGATCTTGCTGCTGTTACTGCTGACAACAAACTGGGATCTCTCACCACAGTACCTAGACGGCAAGTGTGAGACAGAGGGAGATTCAGTGAGCAACCAGACAACTGGGGGACCCTTGGACCCAGCCCTCCCCACCCCAGGATGGTGACTACAGCATCAGGGGCTCACCTCTCCCCATTGATCTCTACGTAGTCCTTGGGGCAGGTGCCCAGTGGTATGTTGGGGTCTACCAGATAGAAGAGTTTGAAGCGTACCTTCACATTCCTGTTGTTAGGCACCTGAAGAGAGAGAGATTTGGAGACCAGGGCGGCTTTTGCTGTTTCTTAAGCAAAGCGTGTCCATGGGAGGGCAACAGAGCAGGAGGGAGCAGGGTACCAAAGGAACCACACACAGACTTTTCCTCTTACATACATAGATATGTTAAAGGGATCTTTTCTTAGATTTAAAATTTTTAATGAAACATAAAACATAAAGATATACACTATCACTACAAAACCCTTCCCTCAGAGTGTCCACCTGCTGTCTAACTGAACACCATCCCACCAGTCAGCCTCTCCCACCCCTTTTCCTCCCCTCCCCAACTTCTCTGGTAAGCATCATTCTCTCAGTTTCTAAGAGACCAAACTTTTGGGGATTCCACAATTGAGTGAGGTCATGTGACCCTTGTCTTTTTGTGCCTGGCTTATCTGTCAAACATAATAGTCCACAAGCCGTAGCAACCTCAACATAGTGGCTTTTTTGATATTCTCATGAAATCAAAAAACACTTTTTTTTTTTTCTTCTACAGGAAGTACTTTACCTGTGGTGTATCCAAAGAGCTGCCAGAACATTACTGGTAAGCCATGGTCACATGGCGATATACAGATGAGTAGAAATGGGTTAATTTAATTGTGAGAGCCAGTCAGTAATATGCCTGAGCCATTGGCCAAACAATTATAACGTTAAGCCTCAGAGTGATTATTTTATAAGTGGCTAAAGGACTGGGTGGGATGCATAAAAGCTTCCAGCTACATATGGTGCCCACTAACTAATGTGAACCTGAAAAAAAGATTTAAAAGGGTTCTAAACACACAGAAAGGGTGCCTCACTGGGCTTCCTAGCCTCTCATGTTGGCACCGATTCAGAGAAGCATCTCTGGGACAGCTGCCCTCAAGATGGAGCCAACAGCCAAACACCATGAGCTAAGCAACATGGCAGATTTCCACAGTCTCTTAAATGAGCCACAGTACAAAGAGGCTTCGCCTAGGCACTGCCTGTGGGCTTGAGAACACAGCTGTATGCTACTTAGTACTGCTTGCCAGAGTTGGGGGGTAAGCAAGCGTGTTTCCCTCTGGTACCCCTTCCGTGTTGGAAAGCCAAGCAGGGTAGAACCAACAGCCAAATCAGCCGCTCTGGTCCTAGCTGCACCAACTGAACAATTTAAAGCAATGGTCACAAAATGATTACAGAGAGGCAATAAGGACTGACTCAGACCAAAAAAAAAAAAAGCTCTAAACAGGTCACAGTGTGATAAGCATTAAATATGCATGGGCTTAGGAGAGAGAGGATGGAAGATAGAGAGTCATAGATTAAAATAATAATAATAATTTAAGGATAATAAACTGAGGCCCTTAAAGGAGAAATAGAACAAAAAAAAAATAATTACAATGGACCATGTAAAGCTGGAAAATACACAGAGTCTGGATTATGTATACTATTGTTTTTTCTTTGAATTTTCTGATTGTTAATGAGCTAACTGCAGAGAGACATTTGATTGTGGAGCTGCTAAGCGAAACCAGCATAACGGTATCTTGACTTCAAAATTTGGGTCTAAGGATATGTTGCTTTGGAAAAGAGGTTCTGCTTTTGTTTCCACAGAAGGTGAGAAGCTGTGGATTACTTCCAAGTTAATATGGTTTGAACAAGGAAGACCCCCTGAGAAGTCTCCAATAGGAGTGATGGCCCAGGTGATCCAACAGTCAGAACAGCTTCAAGGCAACTGACTGAGACCATGCAGCCTCACAGACTACTACAGTCAAGATTTAACCATAATTCTAAATTTTCTCAGGATCCCCATAAGATTACCAGTGCCCCCAGTCAGCAGGAAGAAGTATAGAAAACTATGCCCAAATTCCCAAAATATTGTTTATGAATGTTTGTTTTCATTTAACGGGAGTTGGTTATAAATGATTAATGATCACAGTCATCTCTTTCTAAATAAAAAAAGGGGGATATGATATAGAAATGAATACTTTACATTGGTATGGATTTTGGTTTATTGATACAAATTTAAATTCAATTTTTTATACTATATATTATATATTATATATATATATTTCTACTCTTGTTTAAGGTATGTTTATGCAGCTCATTTAAAAATGTAATGTATAGTTAAAAATACAAATGAGTAGTCATCTATAATAAACATATAGTATTAGTTAGGTTTTTTAGATACACAGAGATATACTTCAGATGGATAGTTAATCTTCAAATACATCAAAGACCTACATTAAAAATATTTTAAGAATTTAGACTTTTTTCGACAGTGAGACATGTGTGCTCCTGGCAGCACCAATTACTTCAAGAGGATGCTGGGCACTGAAGAAACTCCTTATGGAATTTGCTTTCAATGTGGCAAGACTAGCCATTTGGGCAAAAAGTACTCTTGTCTGGACTGTTTGAATATGCTGTATAAACTGGACATGCAGGACCCACAGGAAAGTGACTGCTGAATTTGCCAAAACAAGGTGGGACAGTCCTTTATGGAAGAGTTTGCCAGACATTCTGCAGGATACAGAGGAAAGTGACTGATAAACTGTCAATTATTGGTGGGAAAGTCTTTCAAATTTTCTGCTTCATTGAAAAGTCTGTCAGATAATATGGGCCTATAGGCTGAAGATGGATGCCCCAACATTACAAAAGAACTTTGGGTGACTATCCAGGCAGCCAGATATTGCTGTCATTTCTAGAGTTTTGGAAGTTGCTTACAATGCACTTCCTGTTTACTTAGGTAATATTCTATCCCCCTGGGCATAGTATATTATTAATAAGTAGCCCATGTTTTCTCATCAGTTGCCAACAAAGAGCTAGGCCAGAAATCTAAGTGTGGCTAGTCCTACAGCAAAGGCCCTAGTCGTGTGGTCCTCTTGAATGTGACTCTGAGTTGTTCAGAGTCATCTTCCCCCTCTGCTCATCCTCAAGTGCTGCCCTGATGTACACACAAGTCCTACCTTGATATTCCATGTGCAGTCAATGTTGGGTGGATAGTGGCCTGGATAGTAGGGGCTGGTAAATATCCCTTGGGCTTCACTCAAGGAGCCTCCACAGCCTGAGAAGAAAGGTAAGAGAAAGTGGGAAAGTTAAGGACCCCCAGCCAGGGGGTGCAAGAAGAATTCACAGTCTGGAAGAATTCAAGCCTCACCCCACCTGTCTACAAACAGGGCACTGCACTTTGGGAAAGTGCTCAAAGCCAGCTACTTTAACAGTGGTCCCTTAGCTGGGCATGGTGGCCCCCTCCTTTAATCCCAACTCAGGGGACAAAGGCAGGCGGATCTCTGTGAGCTCAAGGCAGCCTGGTCTACATAATGAGTTCCAAGACAGCCAGCAAAATATTCTTTGGTCTCGGCTTCCAGCCTGACCCCGTGAAGGGCTAGTCTGCCAACCTCCTGGCTCCAGGAGACCCTCTAAGGCCTGCACCTGTCTACAGCTTGACAGCATGCCCGTCGTTGGCCCTGCCCATCCTTACTGCTCATCTTGGGCAGCTGGAAGAAAGTGGCCTCAAAACCAGGATGTCGTCGATCAGTGTTGGTTATCAGTGTGACAAGGAAGACATTCTGGGAGGAGAGGAAAGTCAGGTTGTAGGAGGGAGGGTAGGTGCCACACAGCCTGTAAGGCAAAGGAACGGAGTTAGTGACAGAGACAAACTAAGACCTTTCACACACAACTTAGCTTCCAACCAGAGAGACCTGGAGACCTCACTCCCAACCCTAGACTTGAACACAGAAGGGTCCAAAAGCTTTCAGGAAAATGAGACATGGTAGCACCTACCTGAAGCCCCGGCAATAGGAGGCTGAGGGTTCAAGGCTAGCCTGAGCTACAGAATAAGACTATTTTGGGAAACAGGTCTCACTGTATAGTGCCTAGGCTAAGCACAAATTATTATCCTTCTTCCTTAGAATCCTGAGTGCTGGAGTTTCAGGCATGCACCGCCATGCCAAGCTACAATTTAATTCTTTTTAAAATTTTATTGTTCTACATGATTTATCAGGTATAAATTTAACCAATGTTACTTATTTTAGTGACTACAGTGCAGCTCGAGCATCCTGTGCCTTCTACAAGCTGCACAGTGAGAACCTTCAGTAGTGTGTGGCCCTTTCCAAGGCTGTTTTATCAATCTGTAAAGCTCCATGGAGTTTGGGACCCTCAAAGTCCCCAAGTGCTGTTCAGCTGTCTCCTTGGCAACAGACTGGAGGCTTCGGGAAAACTTCAGTGGGTTAGCACCATGATGGACGGGTTTACCATAAGAGTACTTGTGGCTAATACAGTAAACACAAACCCTGCACATGACAACCTTGCTTGGCCTTAGAGCCAGTCTGGATGCTTTAACTGAGCCTGGAGAAGCACAGAGCCTCGGGTGAAAGCACACTACACTGTCTCCTCCTCATAGCTCCTGCATGAACTTGTGCACACCCAGCTTGGCTCTCCTGGTAGCTGCTGGCAAACAGAAAGCTAGCGATTATTTTGTTTGTTTGTTTTGACCAGGCTGGCCTTGAACTCACAGAGATCTACCTGTCTCTGCCTTGCTGGAATTAAAGGCATGCACCACCACCAAATGGCTGCCTCTGCCTTCTTAATATTTTCTCATTAAGAACTTGCTAAATGGGGACTGGAGAGAGGCTCAGTGATTAAGAGCACTTGAAGCCCTCCCAGAGAACCAGAGTTCCATTCCCAGCACCCACATTGGACAGCTCACTACTGCTCATAACTCCAGCTCCAGGGCGTCTGGCGCCCTCCTCTGGCCTCTGCATGCTCATAGCATTCACTCACACATATCTATGGATAAGAAACAATGATAAAAATCTCCTTTGAAAACATCTTGACAGAGGTAGTTCTTGGTGGATGGTTTGTGTTCATTTCTTTTCAGAGGTGAAAATGAACTCAGATCCACACAATCACTCATCTACTGAGCTACAGCCCCACACAATCACCTACTGAGTTAGAACCCTACACAACCTCTCAACTACCTAGCTACTGCCCCAGCCAATGTTTTTAAATCTATTGACTCAAAATCTCTATGACAATCTGCAGTAGGCACTAGAACAACCATTTCACAGAGAAGGACATTGAATCACCGAGAGGTTAAGCTTGCCCAAGATTCTATGATTAGTATGTGGTAAAAGGGGTGTGGTGATGCACATCTTTAATCCCAGCTCAGGAAGCAGAGGCAGGCAGGTATCTGTGAGTTTGAGGCCAAAAACAAAACAAAACAAAAAACAAAAAAAAAACCAAAAACAGTATAATTTTTTCTAAAGGCATGCACATATACACACAAGTCAGTTGAACCTAGCAGTGGCTGGTCCTAGGTGATGAGGCGAGGAGTCAGTGTGATGAAAATTATCAACTTGATAAAATGCAGAGTCAGCAGGAGATGAACTTTTGGACATGCAAAGTGAATGTGTAAATGGAGTACGGACCCTGAACTGCACAAAACAGAGAAAGAGAAAACAGGCATTCACCACCCTCTGCTTCTTGACTGTGGATGCAAAGGACCAGCGCCCTCTAGCTCCTGCCACTGGGACTCTCCACCATGGTGGACGAGGACCTGGAACTCAGAGCCAGAGAAACCCTTTGTCCCCTAAGTAGCTGCTTTCAGGGTGTTTTTATTCACAACAACAGGAAGAAACTTAGACAGCCATGGCCACTTACTCTCCTGCTTGTTGATTTCTCATTTTATTTTCCCTCCTAGAATTTTAATCGTTTCTGCAAATGTGTTTTTGTGTGTGGGGGGGGGGGTCTCACACGTGCAGCCCAGGCTGATCTGGAACTCACTAGGTAGCACAGACAATCCTCCTGCCTCAGTTTTCTAAAGTACTAGGACTCAGTATGAACCACATGCTTAGCTTTAGGCTTCTTTTTGGGTGTGGAGGGGCAGGAGGAGCAGTATTTCTTATTTACATAATTAACAGATGGGAAAGATACTTGTAGAGAGATGAGAAAGCTGCATAGTCCTTCCTGACTGCTAAGCTGTGTCAAAAAAATGGTTCTGTCTTTGTTGGAGCTAACAGATAGAAGGCTTTGACCTGCTGTGTAGAGAGGCTGACCGTTCCCCAACACCCTGGACAGGTGTGGAAAGAACTCCATCCTGACATGGGGCTATCTAGGGCACCCATGTTGGGCCAACTCCCCCTGCAGTAGGTATACTAATATCACCTTTAGTTTCTGTGCTTCCGATGCTCTGACATCGGAGGCTTTAGCCCCCCTGGTACCAGCAAGAGAGCCTAACCTACCAAGACCTTTCGGATATCTCCTGGCCTGTCCAGAGCCTGCACACTTCCTCCAACAGGCTGTACATGTGGCGTCTGGTAGCAGACAGCTAGCGGCACCCCTGGCTCCAGAGACTGCTGACATGATCCCAATGAGCCAATCCGAAACCTGTTCGCCCATGTTGGCTTTGCTTCTCAAGAGAACCATGAAATCTTCCTTACTCCCTCTGCTCCCAGCTGACCTGGAGCTTCCTACATTATTACTCTGTATGCCAAGCTGTGCTGAGCTGTGTTGTACCACGTCCCTGCCTCTTGGGATCTGTAACAAGTCACCGGTCAATGTAACAGTCTCCTGGGCTGCATGTCTGGCTATACCTGGTTGATCATAAACCTGCCTTTCTGGCAGCAGACTCCAGTTTTCTCCACAGGCAGGGAGGCCAACGCTTCTCTGCTGGATGGCACATCAGCCTTGAATCTGCCAAAGGTGAGAACCTCCTGGCCCACTCATGCTGGTGCACACCACACCTGCCCTCCACTGAGTGATTCACAGTGGCCTGTAGCCAAATGTCACCAACTAGATCCCAAATCCATACCACAACCAGTTCAGATGATACATCCCAACAAGGGACAGGCTCCCTCAGCCGGGGCCTCCCGTGCTTTCTAGGACACTCACCGCACCACAGCATGAGGCTCTATGGGGCTCAGAGTATCATATACGGTGACCAGGTCACTGCCAAGCTCATCGCAGGGAGCGACATCGAAGCTGCGGAAGGTGAGGCTCAGCACAGAGTTGGCATCCCCCCGCAGGACCCACTGGCATCGGGCATGAGCTGGGTAGGGGCTGTTAGGGAAGCCAGGGGTGGTGAAGCGCATCACCTCCGCGCCATGGGCATGCAGGGCAAAATTGCAGCTGTCTGTGTGAGACAAGACACAAGGAAGATATAGACCCTGCCAGCCACACCCCAGGCCTAGCCACACCCCCAATGCATTTCAAACCACTGAGTGAGGGGACGCTGGGCAGGGGGGGGGGGATGTCTGTCTTTCAGCACTGCCTGACTTCTAGGGACCTCACGGCTTGGGCATCTGACAAGATCCGTTTCTTTCCCACCAGGGGTCAACATGATACTTACTGTCCTGCGTCCTCCCCAACAGTCTGGGGTCAGTGGCTGAAGAACAAGAAAGAAGGCAAATATTTTACCGAAACAATCAACTTCCTTACTTTTGCTTCCTTATTACCAAAAGGGAGGTGCCACTCTGCAAGCAGTCCTCCGGGACAGGCCCCATTCCTCTCCGGGCTGGGCCACACATCCCCACCCTGCTCTGCCCCATACTCACGGAAGGCCACCACAGAGGTCAGCACAAAGGATTTCAGTGCCCGTGCTCGAGGTGGCAATGTGACCACTCGCTCCACAGCCATGGCTCGATCGACCTCTTCCGCCAGGTGCGGGGGGATGCTGAACTCTGACCAGTAGTAGGCGATGACACTGCCCTCACTGGGGAGACAGAGGGGAGCCTAAGATGGAGGCTCCAGAGACCTACATTCTCCATTACCAATGAGCACACATACAGTTCAGGCTACTCTGAGAGACACTAGTCTGCTTCAGGCTCTCTGTGCTGCCCACCCACTTTAGCCCTTGACCCTTGCTTGCTCTCTTGGTCTTAGCCCTCAAGCAGACATGTCCTGGGGCCAGCTCAAGTTTAGGAGTGAGGAGGAAGCCTGGGCTAGGCTTGAGCCCACAGCATATCAGCAGAATCTTCCTGGGTCTGATTGTTCATTTGAGATGGGTGTGAGAATGCCACCTGCTACCCTGTATTCCAGACACTTCCACCGAACAAGCAAAATACAAGTACTTTGGAGCTGGGTGTGGCAGCATACATCTGCAATCCCAGATGCTGAGCCAGGAGGATTGCAAGTCTGAGGCTAGCCTGGACAACTTGAGGAGATGATGTTTCCGAAGAAGAGACAGCTTGGTGGCAGAGTGCTTAGCATCAATAAGGCTCGATGGTCATCTCACAGGACAACACACATGTACACCGGGAACCAGGCACAGAGCCTACAGTCCCAGCTACTCGGGAGTTTGAGGCAGGAGGGTCACCCAAGTCTACAAGTTTGAGACTAGTGTAGGCAACACAGTGAGAGCATGTCTTAACATGGGGATCAGGGAGCTGTATTGTGGCTCACTGGTACCCTTGCCTCATATGGGAGGTGATGGGTTCCACTCCCAGTGCTGCACAAAAACAATGAAAGCAATTGAACACTTTGGGCAGAAAGTCTATTAAGAAGAAGGAGGAGGAGATGAGAAGAGGAGGAGGGAGAAGGAGGAGAAGAAGATTGCATTAGGAAGCCTTTCTGGGCACCCCAACTCCCTCAAACCCAACTTTAAAAAATCCATGTCTTTCTGAATGTAGCCCATGTGGCAGTTCCTGTCAGAATGATGTTTGTGGAATTTCTCTAGCCAGCACCCTCCCATCATTCCCTGCTTTGGAGACAGAAGCACCAGGTCTTCTAAGTCAGTTGCACAAGGGATAGGCACATGATCCTATTCCCTGGCCAGTCAAGGCCAATAACACCACACCAAAGCCAGCACCCACCTGAATGCAGTTACAGCCGACCGCTTGTGGTAGGGCCCCAGGACAGGAACTTCACTGTACAGCAGCTTCAGCTGAGGGGAGAGGACAATAGTAGAAATGACCCCTTCCCCAGGCTGCTCCATGCTGTACCCCAGCCCCAGCCCAGGGATCCGGAGGCAAAGATGAGCTGAGTCATGGTGGGGGGCTAGGACAGGCAGGGCAAAAGACTTCCCCTGGGACTAGACTCACCGCTTCCTTCACCTGGTTGGCCAGGCTTATGAACTCCGTGGAGTTTGAGTTCTCATAGGCATCCAGAAAGTTCTCATTTGTGACCCTCAGATGGCCATTGAAGACCTTTTGGACCCGAACATTTGAGTCTGCCAAAGGCCAAGAGGTGGTGATGGACAATGGCACAACTTTACCAGTCCCATCCTGTGCCCTCAGCTGGGAGGAACAAATGCCAAGGAGGTCAGATCTGACCAACCCTCACCCTTCACCATCGTGGCCTGAGAGGGCTCGGGGAGGCAGTGCCCTAGAACACTCCCCGCTAGTCCTCCTCCCATCCGCTCTCAGCCCACCCCATTCTCTCCCTGTCCATCATGGTGGAGGGAAGAGGGAGCACCACCCCGTGTCACCCTCCCACAGCCCCCACTGTACTCACAGTGGAAGTGCCACACCAGCAAGCCAGCGACGAGTGAGAGCAAGAGGAAACTGACCAGCAGGGCCACCAGCACCACACAGCGCCGGGGACCTCGCTTCTCCATTTTCTTGGCATTGTTCACAGGCAGGAACTCCACACCCTCCTCAAAGCCGTTCATGTTCTAAACAGAAAGATGTTTCAGGACTCAGAAACGTCCCCACTATAGCTTCCCGTCCCGGAAGTTCAGTGACACCTGTGAGCCTGGAAGATCCAGGATTGGGCAATAAAGAAGGGGCTGCACCCCGAAGTGCAAGGACTTCCACCCCAGCGGAGGAAACGGGGCTTCTTCCACACCTCATGGTTGGTGGGCATGAACTCAACAAAACCTGGAGCAGGGTGTGCTGGCTTATTCCCATGCCTTCAGCACTTGGAACTTGAGGGCAGTTCAGCTATGGGAGGAGTTTGAAGCCAGCCTGAGCTACACGAGACCCTTTCTCAAGACAAAACAATACGAGTGCAGGGCTTTAGGAGTTTCTACACCCGCCCTGAAGTCTGGAATTGTGGGAAACATCTTTGGTATAGGTGGCTGCCTAAATGAAGGGAGAGCAAACAGCCCAGAAACCAAAGTGGCACTGTGTGGACTTGTATGACCAGCCTCAACTGTACCTAATGCAGTCCCCTTGGTCACCAGGGCCAGAAATCCTGTGAGCAGGATGGAAATTGCCCACCCTGTCTAGCAGCCTTACCCCTGATACTGCGAAGAAAGCAAAGACCCCACCTTGACTCCCTCCGCTGCAGAACTGTGCCAGGGCTCTGAGGCACCGCAGCTGTTACATAGGTTCTGCACATCAAGTTCCAACCAACTTCCCTTCTTTTAAAGTGTGTGTGTGTGTGTCTGCATGTGTGTGTGTCTGCATGTGTGTGTATATGTGTGCATATGTGTGTGTGCATATATGTGTGTGCATGTGTGTGTATGTGCGTGTGCATGTGTGTGTGTGTGTGTGTGTGTGTGGTGGCTGTCACAGGACAACTTGTAGGAGTCAATGCTACTCCCACCACATGGGCTCCAGGGACTAAAATCGGGTTAAGCTTGGTGACAAAGGCCATCAGTTGCCCAGCCACCTTGATGGCTGTTCTTAAACAACTTCATATGTGTGTGTATGACACATTCTGATGGCTCTCTTCCCACACCCTTTCTCCCACCTACCCCTTCAGCTCCCCGATTCTTTTTTTAATTATTTATTTTATTTTATGTGCATTGTTTTGCCTGCATGCATGTCTATGTGAGGTGTCAGATCTTGGAGTTACAGACAGTTGTGAGCTGCCACGTGGATGCTAGTGTAGGTCCTCTGGAAGAGCAGCTAGTGCTCTTCACCACTGAGCCACCTCTTCACCACCTCAGGGCCCCACCCCCACCACACCCCATTCTTCCTAACAGTCTCTTTCCCAGATTTATGACTTCTAGTTTTATGACCCATTGATTCTAACCAGCGCCATGTGTGTGATGATTGGATGGGAACTATTCACTGGAGACTTGGGAGTCACCAATGGGCACACAAGTGAAACAATGATTTCCCTTTTCCTGAAACTATTCATTGTATGCTCAGGAACGAGAGGTAGGGACCCGAGCCCCTCCTCCATCGAGTCTGACTGCTGGCTGCTGACTGCATAGACCCAATGGAAGCAGTCACAGCAGCTGTGAGCTCATGACTGCAATGGCTGAGTCTTGCCCAAAAATGGTGTTCTGCAGGCTGCCTGAGTAGCCCCAGCTCTCACATTCTTCCCGCCCCTCTAACACCATGTTCCTGGTCTTGGGTCTTAGAGGAGAGAGCAGTGTTAAGTGTCCTAGGGCTAAGCACTCATCCATCACTCATTCCCGCACCTTGAGCAGCCAAAAGTCTTTGCATTCACTGCCTGAACCAACATCCCATCAGTCACAGCATTAACAGTGATAAGATAGATCTGTCACCTTGTCACAGCAACAGTGATATGACAGAACTCACCCCTGCCACACTAGCATACTTGCATCTCAAAGTTTCATGCTGTTAGTTGGTCCCATAGACACACATCTCAGACATAGGCACTTAAAAATCTTTCATTCTACTTCTTCCAGAAGTCACTGTATAGAACAGATTGACTTCAAAATCACAAAGATACCCCCGTCTCTGACTCCCCCAGTGCTGGGATTAAAGGTGTGTACCTCCATGCCCAGCTAACTTTTTAAAATTATGGTCCTCTAGGTCGTCTAGAAGAGCAGCAAGCGCTCTTTATTGCTGAGCCCTGATTTACTATTTTGATAATGTAATTATAACATCCTTCCTTTGTTTTTTTTCTCCTCCGCCCTCCTAAAGTTGTAGAACCAAAGTTTAAAAACAAAACAAAATGAACAAAAAACCACAACCTAGCTTGTAGTGGTGAACACCTTTAGTCCCAGCCCTTGGGAAGCATTTGTTATATTTGTATGTCCCGAGCACTCAACAGGCAAGGGACAGTATGGTTGCCAGTTTGAAGCAAGCCTGAACTACACAGCACACACCAGGCCAGCCTGGGCTACATAACAAGACCCTGTCTCAAAACAAAACAACTCTCCCAAGTCAAACGACTAGAAAAATGAATAAACAGATATGTAGGATAAACAGATAAATAGATAAATTTTCGTTCTTTTCATTAGACTATTTCACTCACTATTGTTTCCTCTCCTATATAATTTGCTTCATTTATTTAGATTTCAATAAACACTCTAGTTTTTACATAATTGCTAAGACCTTGTAATTCTTTTCAACCTTCCACATATGAAGTCTGTCCATTTTCTCCCTGAGTCTTTCTCCCAATGCCCTCTGTTTTTTCTCACATCTGCCAGAGCCCTCTGTCCTCATTATCCAGGAGCTTCCTTGCAAAAACTGTGTCTTCATCTCTTTGGTTCATTCTACTTTCACTTGGTTTTTTATGTTTTGTTGTTTTGTTTTTTTATTGGTTTTACGAGTAAGATAGCCTAAATATAGGCTAAACTGGAGCTCACTATGTAGCCCAGGATAAGCTTGAACTCAGTGATTCTCCTGCCTCAGCTTTGAATTCTTCAATTTTTCCTTGTAAGAAGGAAAAATTTTGACACTTACATTTTTTTTAATTTAACTATATTTTATGAGCTTTGGTGTGAAGATGTCAGATTCTCTGGAACTGGAATTATAGACAGTTGTGGACTGTTATGTAGGTGCTGGGAATTGAGCCCAGATCTTCTGAAAGAGCAGCCAGTGTTCTTAAACACTGAGCCTTCTCTCCAGCCCCACTTTACATGTTTTTAATTTTATCTACTCATCTCTTTGTGTGTGTCACACATCTTTAATCCCAGCACTCAGGCATTCAGGAGGCAGAAGCAGGTGGATCTCTGTGAGTTCAAGGCCAGCCCAGTGAATTCTAGAATAATCTGGGCCACATAGAGACCCTATCTCAAAAATATAAATAAATAAACAAAATAAACAAAAATAAGAATATATACCCTTTTTCAATGCTCAGATTTGTTGATAGTTGGCACGGGTACAGAATTATAGGGTTAAAATAATTTCCATTTTGAACTTTGAAAATATTACATTTCTAGTTTTGCTTCTGAGAAACATAAATCTGTTTGCTTCCGTTCAATGGTTTGTCTTTCTCTGAAAACCCCGAAGTGAACCCTGGATTGACTCTGAATTTCATTATGCTGAAGGACATGCGTCCTCTGAGCTTGGAAATTTCCATGTTTCAATCTAAGAAGCTTTCTTATATTTCTTGACTAATTCCTCTCCTTCATTTTCTCCGATCCATTTTTCTTAATTACATCAATCCTTATCCTTTCTCTGTGCTAGCCATCTTTCTTTAACCGTTTTACGATGTTTTCATGTTTGCTACTAAAACTTAATAAGGTTTTTTTTTGTTTTGTTTTGTTGTTTGTTTGAGACAGGGTTTCCCTGTGTAGCCTTGGCTATCCCAGGACTCATCCTGTAGTCAAGGCTGGCCTTGAACTCAGAGATCCATCTGCCTCTGGCTCCCAAGTGCTGGGATTACAGGTGTGTGCCACCATCACCCAGCTTTAACAAGGTTTTCTATTTTTTCCTCTTTTATTATATCTTTTTAAAAAAGAAGATGTTGCAGACAGCTGTGAGCTGTCATGTGAGTGCTGGGAACTAAACCTGGGTCCTTTGGAAGAGGAACCAGTGCTCCTAACTGCTGAGCCATCTCTCCAACCCGCTTTTATTATATCTTGTGTTTGTTTTGTAGATGCATGCTTTTCTCTTTATATTTTTCTTGAATACCTGTCCTTTGAATTGAAGCTTTTCCTTAAATGCTCAATGATCCTTCATTGTCCCCTCATATTACAGAATGAGATCCTAAAGGCTGTTCAAAGCTCTGCATGTGTATGTCACTGTTTGGTAGTCTAGTCATTTTCTACTGGGCACTGCCAGTGGTATGCAGTATGGTTTCACTGCTCCAAAGAACGCACTGCTTTCTGATTTCCTCACTGGATCTTCATGCAGCTACTAGCATCTGGGAACAGGCGGGGGAATAAACCCATCTCCTTCCCTCCACTTCTCACTATAGTCTTCTGACCTTGAGTCCTCAAGTCACAACTTTCTCTGGTCAAATTTCTCCACCTCTCCTTCCCACCCACTATAGGAATCTGGAGGGGCAGATGTCTCTTTGCTTGAGTAGAGATAAAGATTTGAAGATTCTGAACTATATATTTCCTGGTCTCACTCCCATTTTCAATAACACAGGGTCTTAAGAAGGAAGGATGGAAGGAAGGGAGGGAGGGAGGGAAGGAAGGAGGGAGAGTGTCTTGGTCATTGATCTATGGCTGGGAAGAGATACCATGACCATGGAAACCCACCCCCCAGCCCCTGCCCGACAGGATTTCTCTGTGGCTTTGGAGGCTCTTGTAGACCAAGTTGGTCTACAACTCACAGAGATCCACCTGTCTCTGCCTCCTAAACACTGGGATTAAAGACATGTGCCACCACCACCCAACTCCATGGCAACTTTTATAAAGGAGAGCGATGACTGGGGCCTTGCTTACAATACCAGAGGCTTAGTCCATTATTATCATAGCAGGGAACACGGCGGCACACATGGTGATGAAGCGGGCTGAGAGTTCTACATCTTTACCAGAAGGCCTAGAGAGAGACTGGACCTGGCGTGGTCTTTTTA